GGCAGAGCCAGGTCTTCAAATCCCTCCGGAAGGCCAAGAGTGAGGGGGCCAATCTCACCTCTGGGGGCAAGATATTCCAAAGGGTGGGGGCTACAGCAGAGAAGGCCCACCTTCTGGACCCTGCTAGTTGGAGTTCTTTTACCAAGGGGGTCCAGAGCATGCCCTCTCTGTGTGATCCAGTGGGACGGGTGATGGTAAAACAAAGAACAAGCAAAACCGTAAATGACGCTTTATTTTGTCAACAATACAAAACCTAAAGCAGGAACTGGCTGCAGAAGCCATTGGGTGACGCAATTGTGGAAACTGTCCCTGCATTTCTAAAGAGAGTTCCCAAAATATTATTTCTAGACAACTTCTGTCATCTATCCCGATGGGAAGAACATTCTCTGGGATAACAAAAGAGGAATGCTGGTCCCCACTCTACTGATCAAGGACTCCTGGTTTGTTCAGTGTGAAACTCTCATTGATAAGAAGCCCTTCAAATCTGGTTTCTTCATTGTCCACATTGCAGGTGAGTTTTGGAACTGTTTAGTCTGCAGCTATGCAACTGTTATATAATATTACAGCTAATAAAGTGCCTTAAAGAAGTTCTTCAGTTATAAAGTCATGTTGTTATAACCCTGGCTTAAGCAATGGCCAGGTCATAGATTCAGAGGAGGAACATCAGGCATGAATCCTAATCCCAGTCCAGAACCTAATCATCAGAACCTCTGGGGCAGAGACAGTACTCTCATGCTGAAGAAGCATGAAGAAGCATGAAGAACTCCGAATATATCTGTTCCCATCTGGTAAAAATTGGAGCAACAGTGCCCAGTGATGAAGTACATGCTTGTGAACATAGGGACTGTCACCTTCACTCTCTAATCTCACCATATCTCTATAACTTCTCCATATCTCTCTATCCCAGAATGTTGTTTAAGGAGCTAATGGCGATATAACTTCACACCACACCTTCTCCTAGCTATTTGTTTTCTTTTCCTATTTCTCACCTAAGCATTTGTAGTTTTCAGTCTCTTTCTCTCTCTCTCTTCCTCTTCATTTTCAATATATGCTCTTCCTAATAAACATCTCAGTGCATTCCAATCATTAATCTATCACTTTTTCATAGTGGCACATCTTTTTAACTTTTGCATATTACTACAATAGTACAGTTGTATTATTATAATAGCTTATATATTAACACTAAAATGGCATGCACATGTTGAGGAGTAAACAATTGATGCTGACAGAAATTATTGCAGAATTAATTAGAAAAAGGTAAAATAGCATTAAAAGTGAAGGGAAATAAGAAAAATCTTGGTGTAAATAAAATTTTATAAATATTTATTTGAATACATACCTTACAAGGCATATTCCTCATCCAAAATGCATTTGCTCTCTGTTTTTGGCCACTACAACTTTTGGACAACTGTTAGATAAGGATTATTATATATGAAAGAGATTATTGTTTTTAGGCAAGAGTTGAACCATTCAGTCCAAGAACTGCATGAGAATACAATCCAATGGCAAAGAACTTACCAAATGTAAGGAAGTGGGCATAGAAAGCCAGTGAATCTGCAATGTGTGATTTTACCTTATTACCATTTTAGTCACTTAACACAAGAATTCTGTTTCCCAAGGAAAAGTTGAACTATATTTGTTTTAAATAGTTCTTTTTTCCTACTACATTTTCTACCAGGGAATGAGCTGTATGACATTCAGTTGTTTCCAAGGAAGGCCATGGAGCTACTGGTGGGAGAAAAACTCGTTATCAACTGCACGGTATGGGCTGAATTTAATTCAGGAGTTGATTTCCAGTGGGATTATCCTGCAAAACAGGTACAAATTAACATTTGCTTTTCTTCTTCTTTTAGCCTCTATAGTTAATACGTTCTAGCTCATTTTTGTTACCAATTTATAGAGTAGAAGGGGAAGCCACAAAATCATGCTTTGTTGTTGTTGTTGTTG